ACCAGCAAAGAGTAGCTCAGTACTATAACGCCCGAGTCAGGAAGCGGCACTTCTGTGTCAGCGACCTGGTCCTTCGGAAAGTTATGGTGCCTGAGCCCGGTGTAGGTACCTTGAGCTTGGAACATCAGCAATCTAAGACGATACTACTTGTAATCGTCAAACTAGGGGAGCGGACTGAAAGTCACTCCCAAAAAATCAAGAGTGGACCTTAAGTCGCTCCCAGAGCCTAAGGGTTAAAATACTACAAGACCCAGTCGCCTCTTCGGCCTGGGCAAACCCAAGGAGAGTGGACCTTAAGTCACTCCCAGAGCCTAAGGGCTAAAAACACCGAATTGACGAAGACCTCGGCAAGTCGGGCTTGCAAAGGACAAACCAGCATTCAAGCAAGTAGCCCCTACTAATAGCCCTAGTAGGCAGCTCAGGGTGACAAACACTTGGAAAAATTCCACTTTGGTTACCCTTACTTGTTACCAAGCTCGGTAACTCGACAGTTCGGGGTAACCCACACAAATTGGAGTAACAAACACTTGGGAAAATTTTTATTTTGGCTATCCTTATTGGTTATCCTACTCGGTAACTCGACAATTCGGGTAACCTATACATTAAATTGCCAAGTTCGGGGCTCACTCACACTTAGAATTATTTTTGCACTTAGGTTACTCAGAAATAGTATATTTCATTAATGAAAGAAAAAGTAAGTATAGAATTTTGTGATGACCCGAGCTCAATGGCTTCGAGGTATACATCCACGATTCAAAAAAAAAAAGAAGTTATCATGCAAGAGGACTGCCAACCACATTCGAGGGGTCCACCACTTCGACCTCATCATCACTATCCTCCCCTAACAAGTCAGGCTCCTCGTCCACTGCCTGGGACACTCAGGAGGCTAAGGCTGACATCGTGATGCCACCAAGGTCGAGATCGGGGAACTTCTGCCGGACCAGGTACCTGCACAGCTTGAACCCGGAGCGGTAGGAGCTCGAGCTATATTCAACCTACAGGGCCTCGAACTCCGGGGACTCTTTGAAGCGCTCGATGGCCTATTTCTTTTCTTCTGCGTGCGCCTCCCGGATGGCGGTCTCGAAGATTTCGGCGCGTTCTTTGACCGTGGCCTCAAGGTTTGTGACCTCTCGCTGAAGTCGTGCCTTCTCCTCAGTCAACGCAGAGATCTGCCCTTCTTGGGCCAAGATCAGCTGCTTCTAGCCCTCATCTCCCTTTTTGGCTTGAAGTGCTTCACCCCGAACCAGGTCCAACTCGCAGTGAAGCTTCCGCACCTCCGCTTTGGCATCCCGAGCTTCCTTCGAACGGATCGCAGATTGGCAGGCCAGTGCATGAATAGCAGAGTTGGCCTAGCAAAAGAAGACCGAGGTCAGTAAAAAAAAAAAAAAACAAACAGAATTGAAGGCAGGATACTTACCACCATACCATGGCTAGCGGCTAGTCCCAAGAGCCGAGTTGTAGGCATGTCAGCCCATTTCGCAACCTCGTCTTGGAAGACGGCATCCCGACTCTTATGCACCGCAAGCATGCGATCTAGTATACTTTCTTGCGCGCTTGCGGGAGTKCTCTCCGGATCGGCGTCCGCCTCCTCAAGCACAGACGAGCATCCCGGCTCCTAGGGATGAGCTCCCCCCTCGTGGTCCTCGCCCATTACCACTTCGGGAGCCACTGATCGTGCCTCCTCCCTGGGGGGCTCAATGGAGATCGGCTTCGCGGCTAAGACCTCAGTTGAAGGCACCTCGGTTGAAAGCCAGGCCTCCTAACGGAGTCTCTTTGCAGCCCTCCGCTTCTTCCCCTTCTGGGAACTCCTCAAGAGACTCTCTACATTGACCGGCATCGTAACTGCACAAATAAGACGGTCAGCCAAAGAACTTAAAATATTTTTCAAATAAATACCTGAAAAGAAGCCTACCGGGAGGGCTCAGACCAGCTCGTACCAGCACCTCCTCGGCCAAGAAGCTGTTCATCTCGAGGCCAAGGTCACTCCAAGAGTTAATCACCGCCCTGGTCTCTGCATCCAAGCTCACCCCGGGGTCCTGAGTAGCCACCCTCCAGTGGGTTGGAAAAGACCACCCTTCCGGGTTACGAATGATGAGATACCGTCTTTTCCAGGCCGGAACCTTGTTCGGGCAGCCGAGCAGGATTTTGAATCCGGGCCTGGGAGAGATATAGTAGTGCGTAGATAGGTTGAGTTTCGCTTGATCGCGTAGATCAAGCTGAAGATGTTAAGGGTCAGAGGTCGGTTATAGGCGTGGAACAAAGAAATAGTACCAATGATGTTCCGAATAGAGTTCGGATGAAGCTGGTCAATAGTAATATTGTCGAACCTAACTAGTTCTATTAGGAAAGGGTGAAGTGGGAAGTGCAGCCCTACCGCGAGCTGCTCCTCAAAAACAGCGAGCTCATTGTGATCATGAGCCCAAGGGTACTGCAATAAGGGTAGGCTAAAGACCAAGTTATCAGGGAGACGATAGCGGGACACTAAGTACATTAATCTGTCCGAAGATAGTTTGGAAGGACTGAAGTCATCGGGATCCCGACCTCGGGAAGAAGATGGGGCCTCCGATCTGGAGGACGGACCATCTTCCTGAGCTTCGATCTCCCTGAACCGAGATGGTTCGACTTCAGGGTTAGAGGTTCCCTCTAAAGGCAGAAGAGGGGAGGCACCCTGTCGCGAGCTGACTTCCCCGGCAAGAGTAGCGGCACCCTCCACCTCACTAGCACTACCTAAAAGCCTATCTATGCTAGAACTCGACCTGATTGAAAAGTAGGAATTAAACTAAAGAATGAAGACTCATAGAAGGAAAAGACGACTCTAGAAACAGAAGGAAGGAGCGAGCTAAGAATCTGACGCGACCTCGGGAGAGCTTAATCACAGAGTATACGGCGAGAAGAATGGGTCACGACCCCCCTATTTATAGCCACTGTACCAAAGAAGCAACGGTCAAGATCAAAGCAATCCGACGGCTCCTAAGAAAACTGGTTGCACGACCCTCGAGATCGAAAATAGTTTAGCGTGTTTTTTGGCGTCCGCAGAATTTATAGATCGTGTGATGTCCGCGCGTAAATCGCATGCAATCTATCTGACAGAACAGCTTGGACTTCGAGCCAAATCCACTTATCACATCATGAACTCCCCCGCACCAGGTCAGGACCCCYGGCTCGGGGAGTGGGGGGCAATTGATGAAGGGGAATTTGGCCCGACCTCATAATCAGGAGACACGTGGACGTGACTCAGCATAAGTGACAACTCAACATGATCAGATCGGCACGTGGACATGACTCAACACAGGTGACAGCTTAGCATAAATCACTCGCTACAAAGCGACCTCAGGTACGCTGGTACCCCGAACTAAAGTTACTTCAGGTTAAGATCGTCCCAGTATCAGTTCGCGGCCAGGACAGCAATGCCGAGTCCGCTACGGGTTGAGCTCGGACAGATGAACCACCTCGGTACTAAGGCACGTCGGCATTCGGAGCAGATCAAGTCTATGGAACGTGAGCTCAAGTAGCTCGCCGCCAAGCAGCTCGACACTTCACAAGCAGCTCGCTACCTAGTCTGGTCGACCTTCGCATGGCAACCTCGTGGAACGCACCTCCGTATCACACATCCCACGGGACCGTACTTTGTAGCGGCTACATTAGTTCACCCACTCCTCGATTCAGACGGGGATGGCCGACCTCACAGCGGGAGACGTTACTCCCAACTAACACGATAACGGGACCTGACGCAGCGGAAATTCAGGACCTACTCCACCAAACCCATTAGGACTCTAGTATATAAAGATCTCACCCCCCAGAGGCGAAGGTAATGCGTAATCTTGCTTTCCAGCCCTCTAATTCTCTGATATCATTTTCAAGCTTTCTATTATTACAGTGCTAACTTAGCCACCGGAGTGTCCCCGCCAGRTAAATCACCCCGGAATCTCTAAATCATTTACTACAAAAACCTTAGTTCTCGTCGTTGCTGGAACCAAATCTTATCCAATAAGGAGCAGCCAAATTACACCAGATCAATTATCAAAGAGGTTGTTAACCCTTTATAAATAGTTGAAGCTGTAAGTTAGATTGATAATTAATATGCCCCCAGATACTTTGTTCATATATTATTTTATCTATTTAAAGGCATAACTATCAGTCATTCAATTTGGCAATTTCAGCTGTTATCAAGCAACCCTTGAACTGAAATATGGGCTTAGACGATTGAGTTCTCAGTCCATCCAACTAAGGTTATAGTTCTCTCCCTTTGATTGCTGACAGATGGTTTTATTCTTCTCGACACTGATGTGGGTCGATCTTAATGTCAAAAATCAGTAAAATGGTTAAAGTAAAGAAGGAATTCAGATAAGAATAAATAATCTTCAGCTTCAGTAGATAATGATGATGACTCCAATTTTGACTATCTACTCACATGTATGGTTAGCCCAGATTCAGTAGATAATGATGATGACGGTTTAGCTCAGATAATGATGGAAGTAAGTGTTAATTAGGAATTGATGCCAATTTACTTGGATATTAATATATAAAGTGGGGGTATTTAATATTTTGAATATTTATAAGTATACAGAAATCTGCATTAGGCCGTACTTTTCCGTAAAAAAAAGGGTTTTGTAGGCGCCTATGCATATAATATATGACACTTGATAGCATAGGATTGCAGCTTGAATTTTGCCTGAACAATTAAGAGACGAAGTAAGGAAGATCCCAAGGTTCCTGGCTAGTTAATGATTTTTTCTCATTCATAGAGTAAGTTTACAACAGCTTTCATATTCAGATCTTATACATCCTTCTAATTCGATCAACCCAATTTATACATAATTTATTTAATTAATTAGCTCCACAGAATCACAACGTTGATGACATGAATATGAAAAAAAAAATATATATATATATATATATATATATATATATATATTATTAATATAAGTATGCATATTATGTGCGTTGATTCATATATGATATATAGTATTTGGATTTAACTTTTATAAATTGTAAAGAAGTGAAATCAAAGTATCCGGTTTATATATAGCGTATATAATTTATATTAGTTAAAAGAAATCTATATATCAGAAGTTAGACCCAACTGTAGGAGGAGAAGGTGAATGTCTGGAGGATGTTCTTCAAGCTTTGGCCTTTCCGGCTGTACCCACCGTCCTTCCTGGTTTCTCACCATTCCTTTGTTCTCGTGTTGCCTCCAGTAAGGTGGCACCAGGTAGTGATCTTTCAAGAAATCAGAGGCCTTGTTCACCAGTGCWGGATCCCTTCTGCTTGAAAGCACAAATCTTTGGCCCTTCCCATGGTACCTGTATTTCAGTTTAAAACCAAATAATATTATTAGGATATTGTGTAGTTACCTACCAGAGATTCTGGTGCTTTATTGAGTACTAGTGAGTTGACTCTATCAACTCATTTATATTCATTATTTATAAAACGAAGAATTCCTTAATTAATTCTAAAGCAAAAGCCCAACCAATCAACAACAATAATGATTTGAGTAATGCTTATTTTGGGAGCCAAAACAACAATAATCGGATGGGTTAAGGGCTCGTTTTACCCTTCAAATTAGGTATAGGGCCTCCATATGTATACCCCACGTCAACCATACATATGAAAGAGGCCCTAAAATTGCCATTAAGTGCAGTTGCTACAGATTCATTTTCATGGGTATGATGGATACGTGGAGTCCGATCCGGATCTTGGCCGCAAATCAGAAACATCTTCCGTATGTATATTTATTATTTATGGGGTGATGTTTTTTAATATACGGCGGTGGTGGAGTGGAGTGTGGTTGTGAGGTCGATGTGAGGAGCGCTTTATAAGGAGTACATCCTAATTTCAACAAGTGGGGCGAAGAATATGATTTGCATAAACTCAGGATCCATTTGGTTTTTATTCAGAATTAATGGAATTGAAGTTAGAATAGAGTTGGCTTAGACAGGAATGGTCTATTCTCAAAGTCTAGTTGGCTTAGACAGGAAAATAGAATTGAAATAAGCTGGAACGGGATGTCATCATAGTTTAAAAAACGACCCAAAACTGGAACCATTCTGATCATTGATTTCTGGGTTGACAATGTAGCCATCTAATTTGAACGAATGGCTCATTCCAACTTAAAAATAAAAAATGATAAAAAGCCATTGAAGGGATCAATGGTTCAACTACCTAGCTAAATTAATAGGTCGTTGACTAAATTAACGATTTTTTATTAAAAACCCAGTTAAAAATAAAACAGAACCAATTACCTAAACAGTTTCCAGACCAAATGGTTCGATCATCCGAATCAACAGTCATTCCAAAACATTGGATGCCATTTCGAAAGGACAGCAGGAAATAGCCATTTCCTCACATTAGAAAGTTTAACAAAAATGAGAATGAGATTTAAATTCCGCCCAACTAAACAGTTGGTCCGATTCCAAATCACTAAACAGGCCCTTATAATTGGTTTTTATATTTTGGGTTCAGTAGTCGGCAACCCAATGCAGAATTCTGAATGATAGTCCCCCATAGTTTACTATTAGTCTCCTGTAAATCGCATCCTGCCCATGAATTTGGCATCAATTCACGGTCAGGATGCACCCCCTGTATGGTGGGGCTACAAAATTCTGATCAGAATTGATTAGTCATTCTCCTTTTTGTTTTTCAGAGAAGTACGGATAGGCCCAATGCAGATTTTTGATTTCCACTGCAGAGGTATAAATATTTAAAAGGTCAAAACGCCACACTCTATGCACTCATACCTCATCAATTCTGAGTTGACACCTACCCCAAATGTACTTTGAACCTATAAATTCTGACCTCAGCTTTTTGGTTTTGAGTGAAGAGATCACATCAACTACCAACTTTTCAAATAATTGAAACAAACAATTATTATCAGTGTATTTGTATTATTATGTACAGCCAAACATTAGGATATTTTAAATTTTGTTTGTCCCAACTCTTAATTAATTCATTAGATGCAAATGGAGTGTAAATTCCGGTTTAGGGTAAATTTACATTATGGTTCACTTTTGCATGTGTTTGGCAATATTACATTTATGCATTGACAAATGACAGACCAATGCATATTTRCATTGATAATAAGATGTGAAAGTACATCAATAAAAGAGAAGTAAATTTGCATTCAAGTGGGCTTTTGATAAAAAAATGTTTTATTAAAATTCATGTTTGCATCCATTAAAGCTAAATTTTGGTAAGATGGTAAATTTGTTAGTGCAAAACTAACACAACTTTACAATTTATATGAACCATTTTACACTACACATTTGCATTCGCACTTATTTGCACCGTTTCCAAATGCAACCTTAGGCTCATCTTGGAATGAGTACAAATACAAACATAAATATATAGTGTAAAACTTTGTATCTTGTATTATTTTGTATGTATTTATATTATATATATATTTGTATTTTTAATGAGCCTAAAAATTAGTTTGGGAAGAGTATAAATATAAATATAAATATATATAGGGCAAATATAAATTGAGCCTAATTAAGCTTAGTTTGAAAAGAGTTCAAATACAATGTGAACAATACAAATAAATACAAAATACAAGGTTTTGCATTCTACATCTTTATATTTGTACTCTTTCTAAACTAAAGAGAGTATAAATATAAATATATATATATATAAAATAATATAAAATACAAGGTTTTGCATTCTATATATTTATATTTGTACTCCTTCCAAAGCTCAGTTTGAAAAAAAATACAAATACAAATATGTACAATGCAAATATATACAAAATAATACAAAACACAGTTTTATATTTTACATATTTGTATTTGTGTTCCTTCCAAACTGAGCCTAAAGCTGCATTTGGAAATAATGCACCAAACTGACTTTTAGTTGTAATGGATGCAAACATGTAAATCTGCAATAGTCTGTCATTTGTAAATGTAATGTTGCCAAACACAGGCAAAAGTGAACCAAAGTGCAATTTACCCTAAATTGGGATTTACACTCCATTTGCATCATTTCCAAATGCAACCTAAGGTTCAATTTAAAAAKAATGCAAATGGAAAATATATACAGAAGAAATATATACAGAACAAACACAAGTGAGGGTAAGGATTAGCTTGAGAAGAATATAAAACAGCGCAAAATATAAGGTGTTTTGCATTGTACATTTGTACTCTTTCCAAACTAAGCCCACTTTGCTAAATTGGGAAGAATAGAAATACAAACATATACAATGTAAATACAAGCACTGAACATATTTGCATTTACACCCTTCCCAAATTGGGAAAAATATAATACAAATATATACTCTAAGTAAATCATATTTCTAAGTATTGTATATATACTCTTTCCACATTGAGMCTAATTTTTATATCAGAAAAAAATTAAAAAATTCATGAAAAATCCTGATTGATCAAGGTTCTATCTCATCTGAGTTGAAATCAGCCCTCCACAAGATAATTTTCTACAACGTCTCATAGCACATCCCTATCATGTATTGAAAACATCTTTCAATAATACTTCATCATTTCTAATATTATCATCGGAAGATGTTCTCAATACATAACGASGAGGATGTGCTGTGAAATGTTGCCGGAAACTATCATGTTGGGCTGAGTTGACCTCATCTCACTCAGTTCTATCCGTAAGGGTTGGCCGTCTGTGATATAAAGGATAGGTCTATCCAATCTTTTCTAGTAAGAGGATGGAGTAGTGATCTTCGTTACGTCGTGTTAAATCATTGATACACTGCAGCTGCAACTATGTGCGTACTATTTCCGAGAACACATTTCCAGCGATTATTATGAAGGGCCCACGGTTACACGTCACCGTCAACCGCATCATGATGATGATGTTTCGATGACGTCAATGATCCCTTCTTATATCGGAAACTGTATTCAGTGTGGGGTGACACAGTGTATCATATCAACACCAAATTTTCAGGCTAAGAAAATTTCAGCCATTGCGATGGTTTTGTTTTGGCGTAGAAAATCAATACCGGATAATCGAAATGTCAAAAATAACCTTGGAAAAAAAAAAGGAGGAAGGAAAGTAGGAATTAGGAAACTACTCACCCGTCAATCAAATGCAGGAGAGCCTCCAGGTTGTGGAAGCAGCCTGGATCGCTGGTGTCGTTCAGGAAGGGAGATTTCTTGTGATCTAGACACAGCTCCACTCCCACGTGCGAGTAATTCCACGGCAGCCACTCTAGCATCTTCTGTACCATCTCCGGCACGTGCTCATTGAATACTATCCCCGGAACCTTGGGCACCGAGTCATGAACGTTGAACACCCTCAGCACCTTCACCCCTAATCCCTCCACCCGCTCCTTGAACCTCACGTTCCCAACCCTCGGACCCGAGAACGAGAACACGGTTACGGGTATGATCCGACCGTCTGCCGTCACGTTCAGACCCGTCTCCTCAATGTCATACGCACTCAGAATGGCAAGGGCGCTCCCCAGGCTGTGACCCGTGACGGTTATGCTCAGCTCCTCATTCGGGTACTGCTGTATGGATCGTTTGATTTCGGTTAAGACTTGCTCCCTGGCAGAGAACTTGCAGAAACGGCACTTGTCGTCCTTGTCAGTGTAGAGATCGAGGAATCCGGATTCGACCTTCGCATTCGGATCAGGGCACGGTATCTTATCAGCGGAGACCGGTCTAAGGAAGTCCATCAAGTCTGCGACCCACTCGAGTCGTGTCACCGTGCCCCGCCAAGCGACGGCAATGTCACGGCGGCCTAGGCGGGCCGAAGTGTCGTCGTTGGACACAGCGACGTAGCCCATCCAATTGGCGTTCCGGCTCCAGACCTTGGGCCACCTAGATTTCTTGAAGAAGTTGGGGAGGTTGATGTTGGCGGTGGAATAGAGGTAGCGGGACACGTCGTAGCCCAGGCTGGTCAAGCCCAGACAGTCGAAGAATTTGCGACGTGTGAAGCGGCAGCTGCCACAGTACTTGGAGAAGGAATCGAAATCGAAGGCGTCGTAGCAAGCTTGTGCCATATCGCCGTAGCGTATTAGCTCCGAGCGGAGGAGAGGATCCATGGGGTCGAGCAGGCCAGCCCAGTCATCTTGGCCCTGGATCTCGCGCCAGCAATCGGCTATGCGCTTCTTGGGTTGTTTGGCCGTTGTGTCACTATCATCAGCATCATCTTCTTCTTCTTGTTGCACATTTTCTCTTTCGAGCTCGGTGAGGATCGATGACATGGAGTCTTGGTTCGATTTAGACAGCACCCCAGCTATCACCATCTTTCTTGTAGCGAGCTCCCCAGCCGGATCAAGGCCTGGAAATCGTGATTTATTGCCGGAGATCGGTGCAAGGGCGGCTGTTCTTGACGGAAACATACGGCAACTGTACCCATTGAAGGTCAAAAGACTCAAAACCAAGTTGGAAAGTGGAAGGGCCATGGAGTTTTCTGGTTGGATAAAGATAAACTAATTGATTGGATTCAAATAGAAGTAAGCAGCCAGAAGGGTGGGATGTTAGGTGGGTGCTGGGAGCAAAAGAAGTTGATATTAATTAAATATTTTAGTGGGTGCTTATGGTGCGTGATCTGGTGCTCCGTGGAGRACAGTTCCGAGACCCGGTGTGTTTTACCTGGGGTGGGCACTCCCATGTTAAGTTAGTGAAGAATTTTGAGAGAGGTAGAAAGTGAGAGAGCAAAAGAGTTCTGAGAGTTAAATCKTACATACCTTCTCTATTTGAGGGGATGCCTTTATATAGGCGTAGGTAATTGAGCTTCATGTAGCACATCACAGATCTCTTTAAGGATGTGGCTTATCGGTCCACCTCACTCGGAGGTGGTTTCATGCTCAAAGACAATTTTCGTGTAAAGTGACAGATCTTATCCGGTTACCTTCGAAGCGGGCAGCGCAGGAGTCAACCCCATAAATGAAGCGATGTGATACCGAAGGATTCAAAGATGATAAGTCGCATGAAGCGAAAGTTGGTCACCACATCACGTAAGTCACCAACTAGGCCTCAATCAAGTCAGTGAGAGAAGAGAGGGGTTGCTCTGTGTGACCGTGGTGTCAAGGCAAACAAAGGATTGAGCTCCTCGAAAGGTGAAGATGACTGAGGATCAATTAGGGAGAAAAGGGAGAATGTCAGAAGGCAGGGAGTAGAAAGGCTAGGAAAGTCTGGAGGCCAAGAATCTAAAGACAAGTTTCGTGCATGGGCTCTCGAGTCTCTCCCTTTTTGTGGAGAAGATCCATATGCTATAAGGAAAAACTTCCAAATAAGGACTTTTCCTTGATAAATAAGAGATTAGGATTATCCAGTTCAGATTGGGAAAACCATATTGGGGTTTCGCCATGTATCTAGTGGGAATATTCTGGGATTAGGATTTCCCCCTCCCTTACGATTGTCAGGTGGTAAATTTTGGCTACAACCCATTATGGGTTTTGATGAGGTCGGATTTGGCCCTCCAATGACATTATGACACCTGGCAGCCTCTTGACAACTAAGTGCAGCCTCTTGACAACTAGGCAGCTCGCCACTAGGAAACTCGCCACAGGCAGCTCGCTACAGGCAATTCACCACAACTAGCTCACCCTCATGTAGCCTGGCACCTCAGAACAACTAGGTGACACCCGAGATCACTTTGGCATCAATTTGCCTTTGCTAAGATGATGGTGTCCCACAGGTGCGGCCTAGCACAGGCGCAACCTGGCCCCTGGCACGAGCTGGCAGCCTGGCAGGCACCGACCTGGCAGCCTGACACAGGCGCCAAACTTGACAACCTTGAGGAGCTCACCACCGTACTCCACATTTTACGGGATTGTGACTTRTAACGGCTATATTTGCTCACCCACTCCCCCAGTCAGGCGGAAATGGGCAACCTTACCAGTTGGTGGCTTTATCCCCACCTAACATGAAAACAGGTCCCATCACAGTGGGAATACAAGAACTGCTCCACCTAACCCACGAGGACTCTAGTATATAAGGACCTCACCCCCTAGGGGCAAAGGGAGAGGCGAAATA